AATTTTAAATTTTGACCTCCTCAATGCACCAACTAGATTCAATTTCCTATCAAAAGATACTAAAGTTGAAAATTGAAACATTATTTCGACTACTTATCGTGTACACAGACACAAATGAAAAAAATAAAAACATATATCATTGCAGTCAAACCAATACATTCATCGCTACGCTCAGAGTTTAAAATATGTACATAGAATGATTTTTACTTTGCCTTTAGGTGACGGAGATAGCAGCGTAACAAAAAGACTTCACGAAATTTCACCATACGGCCGCCATTTTCACATTAAAAAAATTGAATGTCGGAATCACCTGATGCGTAATTATTGTTCAAAACTGACCGCGTTATCTAAAATAACTAAATATTCATTGCGAGTTCGTAAATATTTATTGAGCAATATACAACGATTTAGGAGTGATGTCACAAAATCTGTAAAACATTGGAGAAATACTAATGATACAAACAAAGCTCAAAAAATAAAAGGTACCAACTCTTTATTATGTGAATTAATTACATTCAATTTGATTATCGTTTTATATATCTAATCGCATAATATTCATATTTTTATGGTCTTTATACAATATATTGTACCTACTCGTATATTAACTTTCTAGGAATTCAAAAAGATTTGGCTAATGCTCCATTCCATCGATTAGGACAACATACAAATTGCGATTCCTATTTTTGTAATGGTTCTAATCTACAGAATACATTAAACTTAGTTCCTAAAGCAGAAAAAAATGGAATCATGAGTGAAATCCAAAATATAATGTCCAGATTAATTACAAACGCCGAAAGTTTACTCGAAAATAAAAACAATAATATTTGTGAACAATTTAATTCTATTATAAACAAACATACTGGTGGCAAGAGAGTTAACTTTTCTGGAAGAAGAAGCTACAATACAAGGGTTGAAGCTGCCGTGATAGATTTCAACTCAAAAAACTTTTTACGACTTATACATAAAAAACATTCTAATGGCTTTAGTCCTGGTATATAATCAATAAATATTCGAATTTTAGTTTAATTTATTTTCCTGTATACATTATGTTTAATTTCAGGAACATTTGGGAAAAAGTTTATCAACAACTGTCATAGGATAAGATCAAACACAATAAAAAGACGGCAGTTATTTCCAGAAACACGAAAAGTACCAAAAAATAAGACAAGTGGACCGGATGCTGATTATGGTATGGCTGAACCACTATTAGAAACACTATCACCAGAACAAATGGAAATTAAAAAAATAGACTTTCTTGCTTCGTTACAAAGAGCTAATGTTGAACAAATAGAAATAGATACCAGAGAACAAAGTGAGTGTGATAAATGGTTTCAAGAGCGAAGAATACGTCTTACTGCATCTCGGTTTGGTCATATCTGCAAAATGCGAAAGACCACTAGTTGTAAAAATTCAGTGTATGATATACTTTATGGGTCAGATATTCACTCCAAAGCTATTCAGTATGGAAAAGACATGGAAGTTGTTGCAAGAAAAAAAGCTGAACGTTTTTTATCTAAGACAATATATGCATGTGGTTTATTTGTGGATAAAGAAATAGGATATTTAGCAGCTAGCCCAGGTGATTTAGTTTAATATAATATTTATAATCTATTCAATAAAAAAAAAAAAAAAAATTGGTAGGTACTTATTTAAAAAAAAAAAAAATATTTTAATAAATTGATGTCATCGCTATATTGTATTCATAACAAACCAAATAAAGAATAACAAAAACAAGAGTCTGTTATGAGTAAAATCGAGAAAATACTATAACATGATTTTTAATACTTTATTATTATAATAATATGAGTACTGAATTTCAAATTATATTTTTACGTTAGTAATTAATCATATAATATTTTTCTTTTGTTAAGATGGGATGATAGAAGATACCACAATAGTAGAAATTAAATGTCCATTTGTAGCTAGAGATAATATTAGCGTAGTTGAAGCTGTACACAAAAAACTTGTAAGAATATACCTAATATTGTTTTATAAACGAGTCATCATATATTCATATTATAAAATAACATTACAACTAACGTATATCTATTTTAGCTTCAACATTGTTTTATTGATCCGTCTACTCAAGCAGTACAACTAAAAAAAGAAAGTGTATACTACTATCAAATTATGGGACAGCTTTATATAACTAAAAGAACTAAATGTTATTTTGTTGTATACACTGAAAAATGGCTACATGTACAAGAAATATTTTATGATCATTCTTTTTGGAAATCAAAAATGGAGGAAAAGTTAAAAACGTAGCTATTATTATAATAATTTATATTTTAAATAATTTATAACATATTATAGGCATATAATACCTAGTTTATGTTTATTGTTTATACTATATAAAGAAATTACAAATGGGAAGGTACTAAATAAGTGTTATGACATTTTTATTTTTTACAGATACTATATGAAATGTCTGTTACCAGAAATAATAGACCCGATGTATCCAAAACGGTTGCTTAAATCCGATATCAGGGAACCAGATTATATATGTAAAAACATTAACCAAAATAAAAAATAAAAAAGTTTTTATTTTGTATAAGTACAATATATATTATACCTATATCATTTTTCTTATAAAACTAATCAAATGAATACAACTAAGTATACTTCTAACTTCTATACCACTATATATCTACTGTATAAATAACTTGAATTTATACAATTGGATTACTTACCTAATTACCTATGGTATTTTTCTATAGGTTTGGAACTAAAAATGATTCGTACTATTAATTACTACAGTCTAAACATAATTTTACTTCTATAAATTTTTAACAATAACCTACTGTGTACTATTGTATTACATATTATATTATTTATCAATTACAAATATGTTATTAGATACGCGCGTGAATCGTATTTTTGCAATTCGTAAATCGTAGGTATATAAGTAAGATAAATATAATAGTAGAAAGATAGAACTCCACAAATAATTCTAAAAAACTAAAAAGTATATGGGGTAGCAGCCACTAGGAGGTACACCGTACACATACAAAATTATAACCTAAACACCTTATACCTACGCAAAAGTGCAAAACATTTACCTACAAGAAATTAGAAAACTAATATTTAGATATTTAAGTAATATTAATTTAAGCTATTGTTATAAATTAGGTATTATTTACTGTACCTACTATGTATAGGTACCTAAGTTGAATGTATTCATTTAATAAATATAAATCGCATAGGTATACGCGGATACTGTAAATATTATAGTGGCATAAAAGCATTTACGTGTATGAATTTTATATATACGCGATCCGACACAGACAGAGGTTGAGAGAACAATAAACACCGCTCTCGAATGAGCGCAATCGTCGGCCGGCCGCCGACTACCAGTAGTGGGCGCGGCTTAAACGTCGCGTGCTTGTGCATCGCGAAAACACCTAACAGCGCGTTCTCTCGGCCGTTGTATACGTTTCGCTTTAGGTGTAGCGTCCTCTTAAGCTGTCCGATCGTTGTCGTTTGCGTGTGTATGTACAAGAATTCGGTGAACACAGTTAATAATTATTAATTAACATAAAACATTTTTCAGGCTAAAAAAAAAGATAAGCGAAAAGACAAAGAGTTTTTTTTTATTGTATATATTTGAATATTTTTTTTATAAGAAAAATTTTTTATAATGACGAATTTTTTATAAATTTTAAGTTTTAATAATATTATACACACACAAAACTGTTCAAAATTTTGTTTTTATCGAATTCAATAACATTTTTAATGTTTTTAGTGCATTTTTTCAGTGCATTTTTTCGATATTAAAGCATTTTTTTAAGGCATAAGGTCATATTTTTTACGGACATTTTTCTTATTTTTTAAGACATTAAAGTCCGTTCCCTGGTAATGACCAACGTGCTTGAGTTAAAATTTACCTCAATGAATTGCTTAAATAAGCCGTTGATTAGATGTGGCGGCATTAGTCGTAGCTGATTAGTAGTGGGATCCAAGGGGATGAGATCAACAATTACAGTGGGAGTAAGAGTTAGGGCTTTGAAGGGTGTAACTTATAAGGGTAGTTTATGAACCTTGTAAACATGTTTGAGAAAGGTATTGAATGACTGAATCAGAACTTAAAGTAGTGTAATGAATCTGCAAACAAATTTCCATTTTGTGTAGACTGAGATAAATAAGTCGATTATAAGAAAATTAGATGCGTACGAGCATTTCAAAATAAATTTCCTGATTCACCATCGATATCTGATGTGAAGAGGCGAAGAAGCCGGCAGTAGGCTCCACATTGAGAACCGAATGGAGAGTTGATTTTATCGCACCGAGCGTGGTACATAAACAACTGGCCTGTAAGGAATTGATTTTTCTGTGGTGAGTTAAGGCAGCGGAACCAAAGAAGCAGCAGTCATACTCAAATTTTAGCTCTGATTATTGATTTATATATTTGAAGTAAGGAGGAGGTACGAGAATTCCACCAACTGCCAGCTAAGAACTAAAGTAAGATTAAACAATTTGGAGGCGTAAGAGGTTATACGGTATAGGTCAGGGGTCGGGAAACCTTTTGAACCACGCGGGCCATATTATCACGGGTCACTTAAAAAAAAAAAAAAATACATATGATATCTATAATATAAAAATGAATCGCAAAATGTGTTGGTAAGCGCATAACTCAACAACGCCTGGACCAATTTGGCCAAATCTTTTTTTCAAATGTTCGTTGAAGTTCAAGGATGGTTTTTACGGCGAGAAAAATTAGAATTATTGCTGGAAAAACCCTAAAAATAGCCCTTTTTGACCCGGTCGATAACTGCACAATTGAAAATGAATTATTAAATAAAACTATTAAAAAACTATTAATTTTATTTTTGGTAGTAAATGACGGTTATTGCATAAATATTAAACAAAAAAAGATCCCGCAACAGGTGTCAAAACAAATAAGAATGTTAGTTCGAAAAATTATTATGCATATCGGTTGATGATTAAACGAGATCAAGACAAAATTATACTACGATATCATGAGCTTCGTCAACAATTCATGGTCGAAATGTATGTAAAGACAGAGAGCGAACGATTTTGATACTTGCGATTTAATCAAAAAAAGCTGCGTGCAGAAGATTCTCAAAACAATTGTTAGATATTGGAGATGGGAAAGTTACTACAGATAAAACGGAATGTATAAAATTACCGACCGATTTCTGCACAATCATTTATTCGCTTGATGCTCTCATTGATAGATATCTCTCATCAATGCTCTAGATATTTTCCAATGTGTACAGACAATACATAAATCATGAGTGGCTGGCAGAAAGGGCAATTTTAATAGTAAAAAATGTGGACGTCAACGAATTGAATCTCAAGATAAACATTTATTACCAGGAAACATGGTGTCATACAAATCTATAGATATAGTTTGCTATGCTACTGAAGCTGTAAATTATCTAACAGAGTTTTTAAACTCATTGGACTTACCAGGCATGCCACCGCATAATTTACAATTGAAGGTTTGTTCTTCGGTTATTTTGCTTCATAATTTGACTTACCACGGTTGTACAACGACACGCGATAAGTTGTTAAAAAATGAATGAAAAATGTTATCGAAGCCATAATTTTAAATGGCAAATTCCGAGGTGAAAATATATTATTACCGCGAATCTCTATTATACCCACAGGTGTGCCAATACAATTTAAACGCTTTAAATTTCCAATTAGATTGGCATTTACAATGACTATCAATAAGTTTCAAAGCCAAACAATTTCTGTAGCTTGGATTTGAGCACATCATATTTTTCACACGGATAATTATACGTGGTGTGCTCTCGAGCCATCCAGTTTGTGTTTGCGAAAGATGGGATTACAAAAAATATTGTACACTCTGTTGCATTAAGGGATAGATATTGTTTTTTACTTATATTGTCATAATTAGCGATATATATTATTTTAATGGATCAATTTTAATAAATTATTAAAAAAATAAATGTTTGATGTTTTTTCATTTATATATTTCGTTACCATTCATAGCACGCCATATATCTTCCTTATATCCTTATCCTTACCCACATTCTTACATGCCTATATTTAATTAGTTATTTTTTTCTAGCAAAATATTCTCTAGAAATAATTTATATGACAAAACAACGTTTGTCGGGTCAGCTAGTATACTAATAATTGTATTGCTATTATATTTGATTATTTTACATTTTACCTTTTAATATGAATGTAAAAAATACGAATGTTACTGGAAAAAAACTGCTTTTAAGAAAAAATCAAATTTTTTGACAAATTAAACACAATGGCTTACCTTAATTTTCGACTTAAAAGTATAAATCAACCCAAGAATTATTAAAAAAACCATGTTTATCACAAATTTTTCTTTTTTTAGTTGCTATGTTTGGATTTACTTGTAAAATGAAACTATTACAAACGCAAATAGTCTCATGTACGGGCGTAATCACGGTGTAATAGTAATTGCTACAAACGCAAAGTAACTATGACTATAACTATAAATATATTAGATACATATGTATTAAATACATAGATTAAATATATTTAAAATTTTAATTTTTAAATATATATAAGTACATTTAATTTATCCTATGACTGAGTAGTGCAGCCATCATTATCTTCGACTCCGATTAGATAATAATAACAATTTTATAGATTAAACTGACTATACAACTATATAGAATAAACATCAACTAAAAATAATTGAATAGTATTGAAAATTATATGAAAAATTTTATTGAACAAAAATAAAACACAAAAATTAATCACCTTTGTGCGAGCAATAAAAAATTGCTTCGTGGGTCACATGCGGCCCGCGGGCCGCGGGTTGCTGATCCCTGCTCTTTCTATCGCAAATTACAAGGGACAATCAAAAAATAAGTTGCATTTTGCCATATTTTGTGTCCTAGTAAATATATTTTGTTGAAACTTTGGGGTAACACTGTACACATTATAGTATCAACGTATTTATTCCTAAATTGATTGTTAAACTTATCAGTAACAAGTTGACAATCATGACTACTGCTAATATTACGTCGCTCAAAATTGAAATTCGAGCAGTTATTCGATTTTTATGGTTAAAAAATTATAAACCAATATAAATACATGGGAAGTTGTGTAAAGTTTACGGTTAAAAAACAATTTCGAGATATGTAGTTGAAACTTGATGCAATATGTTCAAAAGATGTAGAATTAGAAGCGAGTATATGGTGATATTGATTAGAGAGACTTCTGGTATTCCATTGAACTATATTCAGAAAATATTTGGAAAAATTACTGTTATTGGGCTTATATATTGAAAAGTCTAGTAATCCGAGCCTAAGGTAAGATTAGCTAAAATACTGACAAGGGAGGGAAAACATTTGGTTGGTCGGTGGTGTGCGACGAGCATAGTGTGTCTGGGAGTGTGTCATAGCATTTGTCGCACCCGACTTAAATATATTTTCTTTTTAATTACCAAAAATAAAAACGAGTGAAACTCCAAGAATGGATGAAACTCTACTGTCTGATGAGATACAGGTATGAGTGAATGATACTGCTGTATTCGACTTTTAAACACAAAAATAGTGTCATTGCTCTTAAGAAAAATGATTCTGAGTGAAAGAGGTCGGGTGGACCAGCTTATATATATTTGTAATAGAAAAACAAAATATCTTCGTAAGGTTACATATAAAGTATAAATAATGTTTTTTTTGTTATAATTTTTGCAAAAAAAAAAAAAATTAAGCTATTTCTCTCTTCTTTCCGACTTTTCAAGAAATATGCGATAATAATTTAAAACAACCAATTAAGTTGTATTGAGTTATCAAAACTCGTTATAATCTCCGATTTAGTTAATATTTTCTTTTCTTATGTTAAAATAATTTATTATATATTCAAGTTAACATTTTTTTTTACAAAAATTATCTTATCAAAAATCTTTTGTATAAAATATAAAAATTAAAAATTCTATGCATTTTTAACTACAAAATTGTTGTAGATTTTTATCCTTTTGTAATTATTTAATATTCAACGGATCATACATTTTTTTTTTAATTAAGCTCAATAATTTTTTTATTACTTTGAGTGATGCGTTCAATTATACATGTTAATATTGATGTGTATCTATTGATTTATCGTTTATTAACATACCATTTGGACGGCAATCTCCAAGACAGTTTTCAAAGAAAATTTTTTTCCACAACGGTCAAAAAGTTCGTCCAATGACGGACCCAACAGTTCCATAGCCATAGCCGTACATGCCAATCCGATATTACCCACATAGTAGATCACAGGCAATCCTTGTATGTCATGGTTAATATCTATACACAAACTAGTTGATTATAACTGAAATTAAAAAAAATTGGAGAAAAAAAAA